TTTTTTGAGACGGAGTTTCACTCCTGTTACCCAGGCTAGAGTGCAATGGCACGATCTTGGCTCACTGCAACCTCCGCCTACTGGGTTCAAGCAATTCTGCCTCAGCCTCCCGAGTAGCTGGGTCTACAGGCGCGTGCCACCATGCCCAGCTAATTTTTGTATTTTTAGTAGAGACGGGGTTTTCACCTTGTTGACCAGGATGATCTCGTTCTTTTGACCTCGTGATCCACCCGCCTCGGCCTCCCAAAGTGCTGGGATTACAGGCATGAGCCACCGCGCCCGGCCCGCAATTTACTTTTAAAGGCACAATGTTATGTCGGAGAGGAAGAAGAGCTGTGTTGCGTATAAGAAACGAACTTTTCTTTTTCTTCTATGTGGCTCTTTGTGCTCACCTGGGGCCCTTCACACACTTATCACATTTATAAATTTTTTACAGGTGTATTTTGGTCAATATGTTTTTGTTACATGTATATGTCCAGGAAAAAATTTCAGCTTGTGGTATTTTGCTATGTCATCTTGCCTAAGCAGTTTGTATAATTTTATACATTACAAGTGTACTTACCTGAGTCTAGCAATTGAAGTAATGTGTTTTGTTTCTTTCAGTTATGTGTTCTCATTTTGCCAAAGAGCTTTGGCCAGAGCAGAGCACAAAAGATTCTTTCCAAAAAGTGATACTGAGAAGATATGAAAAATATAGACATGATAATTTACAGATAAAAAATGGCTGTGAAAGTGCGGATGAGTCTGAGGTGCACAACAGAGTTTATAATGGACTTAACCAAAGTTTGACAGCTATCCAGAGTAAAATATTTCAATGTGATAAATATGTGAAAGTCTTTCATGAATTTTCAAATTCAAACAGACATAAGGTAAGACATACTGGGGAAAAAAATTACAAATATATAGAATGTGGCAAGGGTATTAACCAGTCCTTAACCCTTACTACACATAAGAAAGCTTATACTGGAGAGAAACCCTACAAATGTGAAGAATGTGGCAAAGCCTTCAGCTGGTCCTCACATCTTAATATACATAAGATAATTCATACTGGAGAGAAACCCTACAAATGTGAAGAATGTGGCAAAGCTTTCTACCGATCCTCAAACCTTACTACACATAAGATAATTCACACTGGAGAAAAGCCTTACAAATGTGAAGAATGTGGCAAGGCCTTTAAGCACTCCTCCAGCCTTAATACACATAAGATAATTCATTCTGGAGAGAAACCCTACAAATGTAAAGAATGTGGCAAAACCTTTAAGCACTCCTCTAGCCTTAGTACCCATAAGATAATTCATACTGGAGAGAAACCCTACAAATGTGAAGAATGTGGCACAGCCTTTAGGCAGTCCTCAAACCTTACTATACATAAGAGAATTCATACCGGAGAGAACCCCTACAAATGTGAAGAATGTGGCAAAGCCTTTAAGCAGTCCTCAAACCTTACTACGCATAAGAAAATTCATACTGGTGAGAAACCTTATAAATGTGAAGAATGTGGCAAAGCCTTTAAGAACTTATCACACCTTACTGCACATAAGATAATTCACACTGGAGAGAAACCCTACAAATGTGAAGAATGTGGCAAAGCCTTTAAGCGTTCCTCTCAACTTACTACACATAAGAGAATTCATATTGGAGAGAAACCCTACATAGAGAAGAATGTGGAAAATCTTTTAAATGTTCCTCAACCCTTAATAATCATAAGATAATTCATACTGGAGAGAAATCCCAGAAATGTGATGAATACGTAATAGCCTTTAACCAACCCTCAACTCTTACTAAATATGAGAATTTACATGAAACATAAACCTTGCAAATATAAAGAATGTGACAAAGCTTTTCAAGTAAGTTCTCAACATGTATTACATATAATTCATACTGGACAGAAACCCTACAAGTGTGAAGAATGTGGCAAACAAGTTGTCAGTTCTTATCTTTTTTGTTTTTTTTTTTGAAATGGAGTTTTACTCTTGTCACAGAGGCTGGAGTGCAATGGCACAATCTTGGTTCATTGCAACCTCTGCCTCCTTGGTTCAAGCCATTCTCCTGCCTCAGCCTCTCCAGTAGCTGGGATTACAGGTGCCCACAACCATGCCCAAGCTAATTTGTGTACTTACGGTAGAGATGGTGTTTTGCCATATTTCCAGGCTGGTCTCGAACTCCTGACCTCAGATGATCCAGCACCTCAGCCTCCTAAAGTGCTGGGATTACAGGCATGAGCCACCACACTTAGCCACAAGTTTTCAATTCTTAAGAGACGGGTTGGGATTCACTCAGGGTGGTGGCAGAGATATTAAGGGAAAATATTAGAAATAGTTACAGTGAGATGTTTGCATAGTTTCAGTACAAGTTTTGGCTGGAGGCAGCCAAAACCCCCTTTACATTTAGTGAATAAGAAAAGCAAATAGCTAGGGAATGTAAGGGAGTTCATCTGAATAGTTTGTTTACCCAATAACCTGTGATCACTCTGGGTGGCCTGGGGGAGGGGATGTCCACCAGGGAGATTACCTGTTAATGGTGTTTACTCTGGGCTTTGGTAACTGCTTTAATCATTCGGAAAACCTTTCTTGTAACGATGTTAATTATCCACAAGGATGTTGACTTGGAATCTCTGTTATTAAATCTATACTGAATAAATGTGAGAAGGAACAACTAGTGGTTGTCATTTAGATGCGATTGCTCATTTTCTGTCTTTGTGAGCAGCTCACAATCCCTCAACTCAACTCATACACTATTCTGTGAGTGTATTTATCTGTCACTGAGTCAGGGTCTGTAGGAGAGATCCCCGCAGTGTGTTGATTCCAACATGACCAATGTCATCATGGTGGTAATTCATGCTGAAGAGAAACTCTGCAAACCTTAAAGATGTGACAGTGCTTTTATCAACACCTCCAACTTTTCTATACATTCGAAAAATTGTAGGCTTGGCGCAGTGGCTCATGCTTGTAATTGCAGCACTTTGGGAGGCCGAGGCGGTTGGATCACAAGGTCAGGAGATCCAGACCAGCCTGGTCAACATGGTGAAACCCCTTGTCTACCAAAAATGCAAAAAGTAGCTGGGCATGGTGGTGCATGCCTGTAATCTCAGCTACTGGGGAGGCTGAGGCAGGAGAATCGCTTGTACCAGGAAATCGGGGGGTGCAGTGAGCCAAATCATGCACTGGTGACAGAGGGAGTCTCCATCTCAAGAAAAGAAAATTGTGGGAAACTCTAGAAATGTATGAAATGTGACAAAGCCTTTATGGTTACCACACTTGATTGTAGGTAAGATAATTCATACTGGTAAAACTACAAGTGTCAAGAATGTGGCAGACTTTTATTATTATTTTATTTATTTATTTTTTTAAAGACAGGGTTTCACCATGTTGGTCAGGCTGGTCTTGAACTCCTGACCTCAGGCGATCTGCCCGCCTTGGCCTCCAAAGTGCTTGGATTACAGGCGTGAGCCCCCACACCCAGCCCGTGGCAAAACTTTTGATCCGTGCTTACACCTTATTTCACAGGAAAGCTATTGCCCTTGAGAAAAATTGTACAAATATAAATATGGAAGAGCTATTAAGACCTCACATCTTAAGAAGGTTCATAGTTGATAAAAGCATTGAAAGTGCAATTATTGTCAAAAATCTTTCTGAAAATATAAGCCTTTAATGTTAAGAAGATTTTTTTTTTTAAAGGAAATGGGAAGGCTGGCACTGGTTGCCCAGCCCCAAGCACCCGCTGGAAAAAGTATTCTTAGGAACCATTACGAATATAAGGGGGGTTGTAGTGCCTTTACTTGTATTACAAATCTTGTTGCATACATTTTGTACTAGAGGAAAACCCTAAAGAAGTTGCTCAAGCTTTGTTCAAATTCAGGGAATTGGCTGGGTGTTGTGGCTCACACCTATAATCCCACCACTTTGGGAGGCTGAGGCTGGTGGATCACGAGGTCAAGAGATAGAGCATCTTGGCCAATATGGTGGAAGCCCATCTCTACAAAAATTAGCCAGATGTGGTGGCATGCAACTGTAGTACCACATACTTGGGAGGCTAAGGCGCTGAGGCAGAAGAATCACTGGAATCCAGGAGGTGGATGTTGTAGTGAGCCGAGATCACACCACTACACTCCAGCCTGCGTGACAGAGTGACTTCATCTCAAATTTTTTTTTTTTTTTTTTTTTTTTTTTGAGACAGAGTTTTTGCTCTTGTTACCCAGGCTGGAGTGCAATGGCACGATCTCGGCTCACCACAACCTCCGCCTCCCGGGTTCAGGCAATTCTCCTGCCTCAGCCTCCTGAGTAGCTGGGATTACAGGCACGCACCACCATGCCCAGCTAATTTTTTGTATTTTTAGTAGAGATGAGGTTTCACCATGTTGACCAGGATGGTCTCGATCTCTTGACCTCGTGATCCACCCGCCTCGGCCTCCCAAAGTGCTGGGATTACAGGCTTGAGCCACCGCGCCCGGCCTTTCAAAAATTTTTAAAAAAGGACAGCTGCCAGATTAAATGTGATCGTTTATGCACATCAGCTGCAAAAAGATAATTGAAAATGAAGAGAAAAATAAGATGCACAATGGCTCACGCCTATATTTCCAGCGCTTTGGGAGGCTGAGGCGGGCAGATCATGAAGTCAAGACCATCCTGGTGAGCATGATGAAACCCCATCTTTACTAAAAGTAAGAAAAAATTAGCTGGTTTTAATTTTTTCATTTTTAGTAGACACAGGGTTTTACCACGTTGTCCAGGCTGGTCTCGAACCCCTGAACTGAGGTGATCCGTGTGGCCTGGCCTTCCGAAGTGCTTGGATTACAGGCATGAGGCACCACGTCTGGCCTAAAATAAAATATTTCATAATCAAACTTAAGTTTATGTACCTCCTTCAGGCTCCTGAACTTTGGGCTACCCTCAGTCTGAGTCAACTTACAACCCCAGTTTATGTTCCTCCTCAGAACATGCCGACTTCAGTTACAACATTCTCTGATCTAAAATCTGCCATTTGTCATTCCCCCCTCATATCCTTTCTAATCTTATTTGTTCCTCCCTAGAAGAGAAAGCTGTTTTTCTGCCTACATTTTTGCAAGCCATAAAGATCTTATAGTTGGTACTTCCTCATGTTGCAAACATTTTAGGAATTCATTTTTTATACATAAATCTAACGTTTTACCCGGGCACGGTGGCTGACTCCTGTAATCCCAGCACTGGGGAGGCAGAGCTGGGCGGATCACAAGGTCAGGAGTTGAAGACCAGCCTGACCAATATGGTGAAATCCTGTCTCTAGTAAAAAATACAACAAAAATTAGTGGGGCTAGTGATCCATGCCTGTAGTCCCAGCTACAGTCGTGCTGAGGCAGGAGAATCGCTGGAACCGGGAAGTGAGGTTGCAGTGAGCCCAAAACATTCCAGGGAGTTCTCTGGAAAAAGGAAAAGAGGCACAGATATATTTTTTATAATACAGTGTGAGGGGATTACTCTTTGCTTCTCATGGGAAATATTTACAAACAGAAAACATTTTTCAATAGTGTTATGCCATCCTTTTTACAAAATGATTAATTGAGGAACGCTTGAGGCCCTGCTTGGGACACGTGAAAAATGCCAGGGAAAATCAGTCCCCTGTGGGGTGCGAAAATAATTAAATGGCAGTAAGTTAGACTGAGGAGGCTCTAGGTCCCAGATTCCTACTTCTTTTTTTTTTATTTTTATTTTTTGAGACGGAGTTTCGCTCTTGTTACCCAGGCTGGAGTGCAATGGCACGATCTCGACTCACCGCAACCTCCGCCTCCTGGGTTCAGGCAATTCTCCCGCCTCAGCCTCCTGAGTAGCTGGGATTACAGGCACGCGCCACCATGCCCAGCTAATTTTTTGTATTTTTAGTAGAGACGGGGTTTCACCATGTTGACGAGAATGGTCTCGATCTCTTGACCTCGTGATCCACCCACCTCAGCCTCCCAAAGTGCTGGGATTACAGGTGTGAGCCACCGCACCCGGCCCTCAACTCTTCTATTACTCCTTCTTTTCCCCTTCGATTGCTAATCCTCTGGTTATTAATGTAACTAGGTTGGGCTCACCTTAAACCATTACCTTTAATGGTTGCCCTGTTATGCCTTGTGAAATTCTCCAAAGTGAGAAACAGCTCTCAGCCTCAGAGAAATACCTCTGTACCTTTCAGACAGGAGACTTCCCCTATCTTGACTCTGTTTTTTTGACAAATGTGAAAAAAGCCTGTCACAGCTGGAGTGATGTTTTATGAACAACTGAATATCAGGGATGGACCTCATCAACAGGTGGTTGTATGTCCTTAAAGCCATACATTCACTTTGCTAAAGAAAACACCCCTTTCAATTGCCAGTTTAACTAGTGTAATCCAGTAGAAATTTCTTTTTTTTCTTTTTGAGACAGAGTTTCACTCTTGTTCCCCAGGCTGGAGTGCAATGGCGCGATCTCGGCTCACCGCAACCTCCGCCTCCTGGGTTCAGGCAATTCTCCTGCCTCAGCCTCCTGAGTAGCTGGGATTACAGGCACGCGCCACCATGCCCAGCTAATTTTTTTGTATTTTTAGTAGAGACGGGGTTTCACCATGTTGACCAGGATGGT